CGCCAGGGAGCGATGGTCTCAATGCAGTATTCTTCAAAAGCCAGTGGGACCGAGTTGGTCCGTCGGTTTGCCAGCTTGTCCGAGAGGTCCTTAGGGGTGGAGACATGCCTGCGCACGTTAATAGAACCCTTGTTGTCCTTATCCCGAAGATTGCACAGCCGAAGACGATCAAACACTTTCGCCCGATTAGTCTTTTAAACGTGGCTTACAAATTGATGACGAAAGTATTAACGAACCAGATGAAACCTTCCTCCCCGCGCTAGTGGGACCGGCCCAAGCTAGTTTCATACTGGGCCGACAGATCCATGATAACATTATTGTGGCACAAGAATTGATGCATTCCATGAGGACTATGACGGGGGCTACAGGATATATGGTAATCAAAGTTGACCTCAAAAAAGCTTATGATTTCCTTCGCTGGGATTTTGTTGAGTCCACTCTTCTTTTGTCGGGCTTTCCTCGGACGTTTGTGTCGGCCATCATGAAATGTATTTCATCGGCATCGATGCAGATCTTGTGGAATGGGGCCCCGACTGAAGAATTTTGTCCTACACGGGGACTGCGTCAAGGAGACCCTATTTCGCCATATTTATTTGTCCTTTGCATCGAGCGACTCGCCCAGGCCATTCAACGGGCTGTGGATGATAGGAAGTGGAAACCTATTTCTGTCGGAAGGGGGCGAGTTCAGATTCCGTATTTGATGTTCGCGGATGATCTTCTTCTTTTCCTTGAAGCATCTAGTGACCAGGTTGACATTCTTAAGGTGGTCTTGGATGAGTTTTGCCATGATTCGGGCTTGAAAGTAAGTGATCCAAAGACAACTATTTTTTTCTCTAAGAATGTACCGCAAGTGGATCGCCATTCCCTGTCCAGTATGTTGGGCTTCAAACTGGTCAGTAACCTTGGACTCTATTTGGGCGTCCCTTTGCTCCACGGTAGATCAACGAACCGTGTGGTGTTATCGCAAGCCGTGCTCAGTGCCATCCCTTATTATACGATACAATCAGCCAGGTTGCCTACCGCTATTTGTGAAGGGCTGGAGAAGCGATGTCGGCGCTTTGTCTGGGGTGGCTCAGGCGGTGCCCGGAAGCTAAGCCTTGTTAAATGGGATGAAGTTTGTCGGGCCCGCAGGGATGGGGGGTTGGGATTGAAACGACAACGACTGATGAATGATGCCTTGTTGATGAAGTTGGGCTGGAAATTTCTCACGGACCATAATGCACTATGGATTCAAGTTTGGAAAGCCAAGTATGGTGCCAACCCTTTTTCTATTAATCATGGCCGGTGTTCAGCAGTCTTTCAAGCTGTGAAGAAAGTATGGAGTCATGTCGTTAGCGGTGCTCGGTGGGCCGTATGTAATGGCCGCGCGACAAGGTTCTGGACAGATCGTTGGCTTCTGTCGGGTACAGTTTTATTAGATATCGCTGTTAGCGGGGTTCCCGAGGTCTTACTGGACAAACCTGTACAATATTTTACCTCAGACGTTGGTACTTGGCGCTGGGAGCTTTTTTCGAGATTAATTCTGGTGTCGGCCCTTCTCCAGATTGCAGCTACTCCGCCACCGCAACCGAGTCTTGGTAGTGACCGCCTGTTCTGGGGCCCGTCTTCCTCGGGTAAATTTACAACCAGGTCGGCCTATGAACACTTAGCAGCAGGGCCGATGCGGACTTCCGATTTCGCAGGCTCGGACACGCAGCAGTTATGGAGGGCTGTGTGGAGGTGGCCGGGTCCTCAACGCATACGAACGTTCCTATGGCTGCTGGCCAAAAATCGACTGCTAACAAATGTAGAGAGGAAGAGGCGCCACCTGTCAACCGACGCTATCTTTGGTGTTTGCTCTCAGGCGGACGAATCTACCCTACATGCTCTACGCGACTGCCATTTGGCCAGCGCAATTTGGAATAGGCTTGTGCCGACCGAGGCTCGTGAACTTTTCTTTGCACAGTAGCTCGATACATGGGTCTTGTCGAACTTATTGCCACGGTCTGATTTAGTGGATGTACAATGGGATCGTACTTTTGGGGTAGCTGTATGGAAAATCTGGAAATGGAGGAACGAACAACTATTTCAGGGGAAGCATAAGAATGTGGTTAGTGGAGTCTGCGACATTACAGCCTATATTGAAGGACTGGATATAGTTCGTGCGGGCGACGAGAAGCTTGGAGGATCGGGGCATACAAGGGTGCCTTGCTGGATTCGTTGGGAGCGGCCTTCGGCGGGTTGTGTTAAGGTCAATTCTGATGGCTCCTTTAATGGTTCGTTGGGCATAGGATGCGCTGGCGGCTTGATTCGTGACGAGCTAGGGCGCTGGCTTGGTGGCTTCACTATGAAAATTGGAATATGTTCTATAATGGTGGCGGAGCTTTGGGGCCTCTTTCAAGGCCTTCGTTTAGCATGGGATCTAGGGTTCCGGAATGTGGTGGCGGAAGTTGATAGTGCGAGTGTTGTGGAGTTCTCTGCTTCATCAGAAGAGGTGCCGGGTGTGCACGCCAGCCTCATTTTGGGTATTAAGGATCTTTTGAGTCGCCCTTGGCAGGTGAAGGTGCACCATGTTTTCCGTGAGGCGAATTTTGCTGCCGATTTTTTGGCTTCTTTAGTGTCGGATGGATCTTTGGGGTATCAATTTCTTCGAGACCCACCTAATGGGGTGCGGACGTGGCTATCTCATGACATTAGGGGCGTTTCGTATCTTAGGAACGTTTGTAGTCCAATTATAACGTAATCGCGCTAGCGTCTTTCTTTGTACCAAAAAAAAAAGAAATAATTGCTCATGTTTTTAGGGAATAAGTTCAACACAATATATTTATTAAATAATATACTTTTTGAATTTCAGATTGAATTTTCAAAATAGTCGCCATTTTACAAAAAACAAAATACTAACAATGTAAACTCTTAAAATTTTGAGTGGGAACTAACATAACAAAAAGATAAATTCCTGTTGCTATTATATATTAATTGATAGATTAATAGAGATTGTATAGTGAATAGATATATAAATATAAAGATGAACAATAATATGTTCATTACAATGAGTAATAATAGATAAAACCTTTATAATGTGACATCATAACAGAGGTGAATGTAGAAAGAAGCTCATAAGAAATAATTGAACATAGTTACATGTAGAAAACACCACTCCACTAATAACTGAACATAATTTTTTTTTTTTTTACAGGGACCTTCCGGTTTCCGGATCCACAGGGGAATCGAGTCGGGTAGGACCACAAGGGCGACAAAGCTCTCCCTCAAGAGTTTTAACACTGCTGCATTCTTAGGGCTCGAACACAATAACTGAACAAAATTATTACAGAACTATTAGTAAACCACTAATAACTTTGAAAAACAAAACTCCTACAACTCTAGAGCCTAGGCCTTCCTCCAAGCACCTCTGGATATCCGAGACCACCACATAAATTGCAGAACCTGCTGAATGCAATTCACAATTTTAATTGTGCCTAATAAACTTCTATGTCTTGCCATTTAACCAACTCAACACATGACATAGGTAGGTTACCAAAGTTTATAGTTGGAGAGAAACACAATGTTATACAAAAACTTTCGAAAATAAATTCCAAAACAAAGATAGTGAAATTCCAAGATTTCCATAAAAATCCTCTCTCTCTCTCTCTCCATTTTTTGTTTTTCGAATTTAGAACGCAATAAAAATTCAGAAATTTCAATTCTCCTAATAAAATTCAATCTCTTATCTTTTCTCCAGAAGCAAGAAAATTCCTAATAAAATTCAATCTCTTTTCTTTTCTCCAGAAGCAAGAAAATCCAAAGCAATCGGATCCAAGTAGTAGATAATAATCTACAAACATTAACAAAATATCCACACACACACACACACACACACGTGTATACGGAAACAATAATAAGGTTCTACTTTTTACCAGTTGCGATCAAGGACCTCATCGACGCGAAATCCAGTGGCCAATTCGAAGACGGTGTTGGCGTAAATGATCGGAAAATCGGGCTCCAACACATCTAACACGACGATCGCCGTCAGCAGCGCCGCCGAAGAGTAGAGAGCCGGACCACCGCACGTGAAGCCACCTCCGGCTCGATGCCTTCTTCGGCTTCATCGTTGCACTTGAGCCGTTTGCGGAGCAGATGACCTGGTTGCTCTTCGTCTTCGCTTGCTTTCATTATGAAGAGAAAAAAGAGACGCAATAATTTTTTTCAGTTTTTCTAATGATAATGAATATGTCATCATATGAAATTTAAGATAAGGAAAAAATCCCACAAAATCTAAAAAAACAATTCCATTAATAAAGATAATGAAGATGTTATCTAATATTTCAAACGAAATACATAAGCGGGAAAATAACTTTAATGGAGCGGGAAAATGAAACAATTATTTTCGAGTTTTTTCAAACATTTTTTGTTAGCCATATTATATAGTAATAGATACACATTTATTGAATTGTTTCTTCCACCATTAAATTTTCTAGGAATATATTTGCATATAAGATATTAAAATTACATATGTTGAAGATAATAGTTTATATTGTTAAGAATCCATATTATGTGGTATTGTTTCATTCACTATTAAATATCATGTATGAGTCCTTTCAAACTTGTGAAATTCAAACTAAATATAAGCATTTAATAATTTTATTAAATAAGTAAATTTTCGAGAAAATCATATAGAATAATTTAATGACATTGTAACATATAAGTAAGAAGCTATTAGTAAGAATCTACACTACACGTGCGTTATTCTATTTGTTTTTATTGAAGTTTGAACAACAAAATAAATTACATAATAAAAATTCAACAAAAAAATAAATGAATAATAAATGAACAACAAAATAAAGTGAATGATTTCCATTATATTGAATAAAAATGTGGCAATGTTGAAGGACATGGAATAAAATTAACGATCACATAATTATAAGGAAGTTACGACAAAACTTATTATTATGGATCTAATCTTAAAAAATTGTAGAGGCGCATGGAAAACTTTCATTCCATTTCATCACGCGTGTAATACTCATGAACACAATCTTCCAATCGTGTGGGGTTGCCCTTTGCCGCCGATTATTGGGTTTCAGTCCATAGTCCGCGATACAATACACGTCGTCTTCTTAAAAAACGTCTCGAAATAAGCTCAATTGTTTGTAATGTATCAATCCACTTATTTGTGTACCCTACAATAAGAAAGTTTTAACAGAATGAATAAATTAAAAAAATTGGACGTAAGAATATAAATAAATAAAAACATTTGTACAATATAAATAAATTACTCATGAAATCTGAATATAAATGAACAACACAATAAATCGAATAAATTTATCTAATAATAAATGAACAACGCATTAAATCGAAATAATAAATGAACAACACATTAAAATATTACCTCTATCTTAAAAAATGATGACACAGAAATTCTTTGTCTCCAATTCGTAATTGGTTTTAACAATTAGAGTAGCTCTTAATTTTAAAAAAGGCCTGTTCACCCTAGTAACCGCGAGCAGTGTATTAAACACTGGTGCCATTTTGTTTTTTTCTGTTTCATAATGACGTGTTTTTATGTTTTTGCAGAATTATTTTTCGGAAGCGAAGTAAAAGTGAAGAAGCAGTTATGAAGGAATGATGGATTTATATAGGATTATACAAAATTGTTATTAATCCGTTTTTTATGTGATTTGGTGTATTATTTGTATGTATCAAATCCCATCCAAAAAAAGCGAGATAACTCAATAAGTAAAAAAAAAAAAAAAATCAACAAACTCTGATAAAAAAAAAGGAAAACAAACGGATTTTAAGGAGTTAAACCAAATCAGTTATCACCAATTAAAAAACTAAAAAATCTCATCCTAAAAAGGAGGAGTTAAATTAGGTGAAAAAAAAAACAAATGATTCGAATCTATAAACCAGGAATTGTAGGCGGCATTAAGAAAAGATTTCAAAAAAATCACCAAATAACGAAAAAAGAAGAGGGAAAACGAAGCAAGAAAACAAAAGATTTTTTCAAACATTTTACCTTAGCCTTATTTTCAGGGGCGAAACCATGTACACGGTTGGAGAGGCGCGGGCCCCTCAAAAAAAAATTAAACTACGGGTAGAGGATTTTGCTGGAACTGGAAGATTTTTCTTTGAGCGCGCATGGTGGGCCCTCCCCGGTTTCATGCGGTACATACATGGCTGGAGGGGCACCACTGGTTTTGTCGTGAAATTATTTTTAAAGGCAAATTGGGCCCTCCCCGAAATGGGATCCTGGTTTCGAGACAAGGAGAACTATAACAACAGCAGAATTTAATAATATTTTTATTTTTATTATATTTTGAGTGGGTCAATTAGCCGACTTGCGGTGTATCGATGGGACTCAAAAATCGAGTCGATCATTACCAAAAAATACTTTTATGAAAGTACGGGAAGTGAAGAGTGCGTTGGTGGCATCGATTTATGATTTTAAGGTCTCGACCATTTATTTTAGGTAGCCCGAAATTGAGAGAAAAATGGCAGTGGCTGTGATTTTATTGCCATTTTCATGTCTAGACTTCGGGTAACCGTCGACCCTCGTGAGACATGCTGAAAATTAGCGGGATTTCTTTCTCGAAAGAACGAGAACAGTAGAAGCCGTTCGTAAAATTTATTTCACGTTTCGAAGTTTTGAGCATTTATTTTGAGAAGCTCGAAGTCGAGTGCGCATAATAGAAGAATAAAAACCGTTTTGCGGGGTTCCGTAAGGTTGCGTGTGACCTCGGTTTAACGAGAATCAAGTTGGAGCGTCTAGACAATTCAAGCATGATTCCAAACGGACAAATTTTGCATTTTTCGGAGTTCTGAGCATTTATTATGGGAGTTTGAATTTCTGCGTTAAATAGTATCAAAATGTGCAAATTTGTCGAGGACGAGTTCGATCGTTCGAGGCTTCGCTTTCTCAATTTTTTCAGCTTTTCGTCTATTCGAAAAGAGGTATAATTCTTGATTATTATTATAATTGAGTCCGAGAATTTTATTAGTATAAATTCGAGTATTTTTTGAGTTAAAACAATTCAATTTAAGTATACCAGTTTAATTCCGAACTTATATAATTTGATTTCTAGAAAAATCTCTAGAGTATTCTTTTATATCCTGCGAAAATTTTTGAGAGCGTCTACAAAAGTTCTTTGAGCGCACTTCTGATGCCGGAGTGGGGGTGGTGCGCCGCGGGATGGCCGGAGTGGGGGTGATGCGCCGCGGCAAATTGGGCCCTCCCCGGATGACCGGCTGGTTTCGCCACTGCTTATTTTATAGTAATAGTTATAATTAGAAGAATAATTTAAAATGATAAATAATATGTAGAACTTCTTAATGCAAGTACAAAAGTATATATAATAGAAATATATATTAAACTAACAAATAAACGCATATAATACTACGTACCTTTTATTATTCTTCCAACAAATCAAGTCCAAGAAATCTCCCAATCTTTGTTGTATCAACAACATCCAAGGAAGTACCATTAGCCAATAATGTTCTTAATGCAGAGAACCTATTAACAGGAATCTGAACAAACTCCTTGAGTGATATTTCCCATGTTTCAGGAACAATTTGAGGACCAGGCACACACTTTTCATGTGATATATCCTCTTTTGTGTATGGTCTCATACAACATGCACATGATCCTGGAGTCCATGTTTTAGGAACATGAGAGCCATGGACATTATCTCTCTTGGAAAAAAAATCAGCCTTCGCATAATACAACAATGAGGGCAAAATGCATTGCTTATTGCCACAACCGACTGTCCACTAATTTTCTTTAATGTAACATGCACTTTCAAACAACCAACATGACTTGCAAGAAAGATAAGATTTCATGTATACGGTAATAGTATGTATGTAGCATACAAATATCACCGGTAGAAATAGAAATGGAAAAAGAAAGACTTTTTATAAATCAAATGTGATGGTAACATAGTAAAAAATGAGAACAAAGTCATTGTTGTTACAGATATATTTGATTTCACCAACCAAAAAAAAAAATGTAACAAAGCATCAAAAGATTCATTTTACGGTCAATGTTAAGCATACCAAATGAGCTGCATCGGTGCCGAATACAATTGTGTAAAGCAGCGGTTCAAACACAATATGTCACCATGTGATGTAATCCCTTCTGAATCTTGCATCATTAATGAGGTAGATGCTTCGGAGGTACTTGTTTCAGGAGCAAGAGAGAGAACCCTGAAGAAAGAGCACACAGTACACAGTTTAATCCTCAGTATAATAAAACAATGAACAAGACAAAATGCAAGCTACCATCAATTGTAATATAATAATAAACAAGAACAAAGGCAACACGACTTGCAAGAGAGCAAAATTTCATGTATATGAGTAAATTGCATTTGGATATCTACAATATACATATATCACAGATAGAAATGGAAATGGAAAAGGAAATGATTACACGATGACAACAAAGCATAGCAGGTACAGATATATTTGATTTAGCAAACATAGTAAACGATTTATTTTTTGGTCCACGTTATACATACCAAAGGAGCTGCATCAAGCCCCGTATAAATTGGTGTGAAGTTGTTGTCCAAATATACTCTGCCACCAGTGACCTAACAAGCCACAACTAAGAATGGGCACAAGTTCCATCTCAATCACACAAAGATTATGAAAAATATAGAATAGCATACCTCAAGCGTCTGCCAAAATGCATTAGTTCTTAAATAATTTGAATTAGTGACTAAAGAATGTACAACTCCATTGACCTGCATAAGATCAAAACGGGTCAAAAATGGAAAAAAGAAGGCAGCTAAGCATAACCCCTAACTGTAATAAAATACAGCAAATGTTGAGTCTCACCTTAACTATAGTATTGTAGTGATAGTGCCAGACATAATGCATGGAACGTTTTCAACAAGGTCTTCATGTAGGGAAACCAAGTTGTAGCATTCGCACATGGTTATTTAAAATGTTAACAAGTGGCAAACAACAAAATGTTTCCAACCAGAACAGACTGCACATAGAAAAAAGACAATTAGATAATTTACCCGGTGGGAGTAAGTTGATTTCCCTTTAGAAACTTCTGGATCGTCTCCGCTAAAAACATTGAACAAAAGCAATAGCAGCAATGAAAAAGTTTGGTCAAACATTGTGTAGCTGAAAAATAAAACTAACCATGACGAAGATCAGGTTCACAAGCCGCCAGACTAAGAGTTTCCAATGATACTTCGGGTCCAGGCAACAAATCCTAATAAGTAGTATCATGATATTAGCCGGCCACGTCATATAAAATGATTGCGCACTGAATTAGAAAATTTTGCACTCACAACATAATCAATGGCCATGATAAACTTGCTTACCCTAGTAGCAACCCAACCATGTCGAACATTGAGATCCAAGCAATCAAGAAGTAACCACTCTAGTGTCTTCGTAAAATCATCCGTCCTGCAGTGTGAAAATTGTAAATATCAGAACACCAACAGCCAGCCTAAACAACAAAGCAAATAGACAGAACCAATATGGAAAGCTAGAACTACAATCACCTTGTGAAGATAATGTCCACATCAAACCCTTTGGCCAGTGTCAGTGCCACATCCCATATCATTCTTTATATTTCAGGATAATGGGCATATTGAAAAAATATATATGTATATCCACAACCTTAGGCTGAAGGCCATGAATGCAACCAAAATCGAGTTTGCAATAGCTGCGTTCCTGCATTTTTGCACTTCTGCTTATAAGAGAGTAGACAAGGTCAAGTAGATAATCGATTGAAACCACAGTTTCACATGCTCCGAAAAAGATGTCCCCCTTGAGCAGTAGCACATTGTCTGTGGTGAAAACAGAATAAATCAAAATCATGAGGAAATTGAATAAAAAAAAAAATGAAAGTAAACCCAATTTCACTTACATATTGCAATAAGGGCGCATGGGCCATCATGTTTTTGGTGGATAATATGGGTAGATCGTCTGAAAAAATCAATAGGCCTCATTTTCAAGTTGTCAAGGTTGCCCTGAGAGAAACAGGTTTGAGGGGCAGCATTTTCCAACAAAACATGAAATCATTCCAGCAATTTTGCACTTACAGATATAATTGCTTTCTCCTGTATATTCTCATCTTTCTCCTCGACCTCCCCATCATCTTTCTCCTTGGCCTTCTCATCATCGTTCTCCTCAGTCTTCTCATCGTCTTTCTCCTCATTCTTCTCGTCGTCTCTGTCTTCGTTCCTATCCTCCTCTTTCTCCTAGGTTCTAAGGGCCCCTTAAGACCCATCTTCGTTTTTTTTCCTTTCTTTCATTTTTTGTTAGTGGCTAAATCAAATGAATGATTTCATTGAGTTAGCAAAACATGCCTAAAAATAAAATAGAGCAAGAACTTGTAATAACACTTCAACATTCTGATCTTACTAGTATTGATTGAATCATTGAATTTGTAGGCCTAAAGTTACAATCAACAAAATATCCATCATCATTTC